GTCTATAGGTCTACGGATCGAATCCTGGCTACCTATAGACCTACGACAGACCTACCTACCACTGGCGGTTCTACAGGTCGCAGGTTCAACTCTTCGAGTTGACGCAGGTATTGTACACAGGTAAGTTGGGGAACTAGGGATCGAGCCCTGGGATCTACCTCAGCTACCACGAATTGGTGAATACCCTTTCACAAGTATCTAGACCCAGAAAAAAAAAAGGGAGTGACCAAGAGGATAAGGCCATGGAGAACTGGTCAACACAGCCGGAGGGAAAGAGCACTTTGAACTGTGCGTTACTGACGTCCCAGGTGTCAATCAGTTCCTCAAAGCCTTAGCCGATCCTCCAGTCTGCCCCGAAGAATGCCTTTATTTCCTAACTCCGACTTTGACTCTCACTTAGCCAAAAGGAGACCCCATCACAAGAAGGATAACACCAGTACCCCCGCCTCCTCCCCCCCCCTCCCCTGCCCGAGGGAGTACTGTACGCCAGAGCAGGAAAGCTCAATCAACAGTAACGGTTAACAGGAAAGCTCAATCAACAGTAACAACCGTTAGAGTAACAGCTAGCAGGGTAGGAACACACTGGCAGCAACGCCTAACTCTGACATTGGCTTTGCCTCCGACTTTGACTTTGAAACAGCTGAGTTTGACCATCAGCTTCAGTATTCACGCCTACACGCTCATCTTCTACCTTTGAATTCGAGTTTGACTCTGACGTTGCCGTTGACTTTGACTGCAAAACAACCAAAGTTTGACCATCAGCTTCAGTATTCATGCCTTCACGCTGATCTTCTACCTCTGAATTCTACTTTGACTTTGCCGTTGCCTTTGACTTTGACTGCAAAACAACCAAAGTCTGACCATCAGCTTCAGTATTCACGCCTACGCGCTCATCTTCTACCTCTGAATTCGANGCCGTTGCCTTTGACTTTGACTGCAAAACAACCAAAGTCTGACCATCAGCTTCAGTATTCACGCCTACGCGCTCATCTTCTACCTCTGAATTCGACTCTGACTTCGCCGTTGCCTTTGACTTAATTCGACTCTGACTTCGCCGTTGCCTTTGACTTTGACTGCAAAACAACCAACATACCGCTGACCGTGACATTAACTTCAGCAGTCAACCATCGTCTGCGAATCATAGAGAACAGCCGGAGACTCCAAAGCAGGCGGGCTGACCCGCCGCTAATCCACTACTTACCCCCTTTCGGAAGGGCAGACAAGTCATCGCATGTCCATTATACAACCGTTAGTTTAGATGGGTAATTAAACTAGTCCATGACACTAGATACACAAACATGTAAGATAGTTTACCTGGACAATCAAATTCACAGACTCATTCGGAATCCAAGAACCGCTGCGCTTTTCATCGCTTAGGATGACGTCGACAAGTCATTAGATGCCCACATACAGCCAAGAGCTTTTGCACGGGTTATGAAGTCGGCAGCTGTTGGGAGCTCCGTCAACCCAAAATCAACAGTTTTCTCAACATCGCTTTCTAGTCAAGAGATTTGACAATGATCAATACCATGACAGGGTGTTGAAGCACTTCCCCCCCTTACCTCTTCCCTCGTTCCCTTTCTACACCGCTAGAACGGAGGAGGGGAGGGGGGGGGGGGGGGGAGAAGGGGGGGGGGAGGAGGGGTCTTCGAATGCAAGTATAGTCCGCTGCCGCTTGTCAAAAAGAGGGAACTTACCTAGAGAGAAGCAGCAAGCGTAAGGGACAGTGCGTACCAACCGATTCTCAATTCGACGTGGACACGTAGATCACCCCATAAGAAAATATTACATGCATGCCATTGTATCACAAGCAGAGAAAACTTTACTCTTCCCGCTAAAAGCCAGAAACGAAGGCACTATACCAAAATGAACAACACCAGTTTCCTAATCTTGAAACGAGGCATGCCTACCTTCTTACATCCATGTGTATGTCTCGGAAGGATTAATATAAAGTACACCTGTACTGAATCGTTAATCTCTACTTCCACCCAGATTTTCCCACCGGCCCACCGTTACCTTCCCCTCTTCCTCTCTCTCTCTCTCTCTCTCTCTCTCTCTCTCTCTCTCTCTCTCTCTCTCTCTCTCTCTCTCTCTCTTCTT